GAAATCCTAGAGGAGTCTGTGAGTAAAGCCATCCTGGAGGCTGAAGGGTGGGGAGTGGGGGTTTAGCTCAACTTAGAGAACTAGGGAATTCAGACAAAGGAAATTCTAGAGCATGGCCAGCATAAGGAACTGCTGTGGGCAAAGACCTAGACAGAAGAATTGGGACAATGAGGTCGCCAATCTGGCTAAATTTGAGACCTGGTATACAGAAAAAAGTGTGCAAGGGTGGGAAGAGGGAGGGGCCACCCCTGGGAAGGCAAAATCAAATTTGGGCAAAAGGAGAAGAGACTCCATTGTGCCGGTGAGAGGAGTCAGAGATATGGGCAATGGCACAACGCCGGTGTCCGAGTTAACCTGGCTGTGTGCGCAGTAAGGAATCTGGGGCAGGAGGGGAGTTTGAATGCTGTTCAGGCATGGAGAGATCTCGGACAGGTTACACAGGTCCATCACTCTCATGGGTATCACTCCTTTCACAGATAGGGAAGAAGGAAACTTCGCCCACAGCCCAGACACCAAAATAGTGGCCACCACATGCATCAGGGGCCATCCGCATTGAACCTTTGGGGATGTTCAGTTTGGAAGGGCTGTCACCAGCAAGATCCTGCCTGGGCAGTATTAACGTGCAAGGGAGGCGCTAAAATTGTCACAGGAGTGATGAAAATGGGACTGGAGTCAGGATTAGCACCACTCAAAGTCAACCCCAGCCTGCAGCCCCACACTGCCCAGCCTAGCTGCGGCCTGCACACAGAGCAGAGAGGAAGTCTGCAGCCACAGCGGCTGTCTGCCTCTGGCCGTTCACCAGGGCCTGCCCTGCTCCTTACACAACCACAACTGTCAGTTGGAAAAGGCGGTATGACACCTGGGGAGCTTCAACCTTAAAATATAATCCATGAGCCCTTGCAAAAACCACCCTCTTTGCAGGCTGGTTTATGACTCGTGGCTTTGGACTTCCACAGCTCTGCACCTAGTGAAGTAAATGCAGGAGTGGAATATGTTTTAATAGATGTTCAATCATTGTTATATATTATGTTTGTGTGTGTGTATGAGTGCACACAAGCTGAAGGTACCCAGAAAGAGTAAAGAGAATGTCAGTTAATATCTGCAGCAGGGAAAAATTGGTCAAATTTAATTTGCTCTTTGAATAGTCCAAGACATTGTGCCTTTACACCCACCAAGCTTGCTTATGCAAGTGTCCCTCTCTGTGAAGCATTCTCTTCTCTCCACCTACTGACATCCTCCTTGCCTTTCAAATTCCTTCTCTGCTTGCCAGCCTCCTTCTGCAAACCTTCTGCCCACATGACACATCCATAGTATTGCTAAATTAACCGCCATAATATTGTGAAGGTCCTACTATATGCCCAACATTTTATCAGATGTCAGGAAACACAGATGCCTGCACTCAAGGAGCCCACAGTCCATTAGAAGAAATGTATGGACCAACAGCTAGCTAGCCCTGGTAAAACAGGGCCGGTGACCCAGCAGTGTGCACATATTAAACGTTAGCCCTAGTGCCTGCTAGAGCTGCCGCTAAGGGAGCAGCTTAAACTGCTACATTCCTTCCACAGGACCCACTGCCTCCCAGTTGGAGCTCATTGACCAGCGAAGGGTAACAAAGCCAAGGCTGGCCAACTGGCAGGCTGGTCAGCAGCCTGGGAAGGGGCTGGGTGTAAACTGCTTGGTCCACACAGAGTGGAGCCAAACAGATTCCTATTCTTGGGAATTCAAAATGGACTACATGGCAGGAATAGGGCAGCAAGCAGCAAGAGTGGAAGATGCAAGGCTGCGAGGTCGGAGGAGACAGAACAGCCATGATGTGCCCAGGTGTGCAATACCCACAATAATTGCTGTTTATTGAGTGTCTACTATGTGCCAGATGGTAGTAATTTCACTTTCTTCAGGTCTCAGTTCAAACCTCCTCTCCTCCCACAGACCATCTGGCCCTCCTGACCCTCTCGCCTCTTCATCTCCTTCACAGCCTCACTACTCAGAGTGTGGTCCATGGACGAGCAGCAGTTTCATTATCGAAAGGCAGCAGCCTGGCCCCACCCTAGACCTACTGAATCATAATGTGCACTTTAACGAGATTCCTAGACAACTTGTTTCCACATTAAAGTTTAAGAAGTGCTTTATATTAGTTTATATTACTTATATGACTTTATATTGCTATGGCAGTCTGCAATTATTTTATTTTTCACAATCATTTTGAATGCCATCCTACATGTGTACAACCTTTTATTATTTTTTTTTATTATCTATTGTCTGTCTCCCCTAACAAGACTTTTAGGTTCCAAAGGACTGGGGTTTTTTTGACCACCTCTCTTCTTTATCCCCAGAACTTAAAACACATGGCAGGCATTTCAAAACTGCCGGTCGAATGAACAAATGAGTGAATAATTTTGCCCAAACTCCCAAGCTAATCAACCATTGAAACCATGACCCAGGACTCCAAAACCCAGTAGACAGCTTCCAGTTTAAGTGTTCATTCCCCTGTTTCTGGGAGTGCTGGAGGCTGATGGCTCTGAATGTAGCCCCTCCTCGGGAATCACCCCGGGCACCCTGCACCCAAGAACTAGTGGACGGGGGCATGCAAAGGCTTGGCCCCTCTTCCCCCAGTGCAGGGCGACTCAGAAGGGCCACCCCAGCTCCTGTGCTCTTGCGGGGGCGGAGGCCTCTGTGCCACTGCACACAGCCCGGCTCCTCCCTCTGCCCAGGCCTCTCTCCTTCCCTCTGTCACAGCACTCAGTCCCCAAAGGCATCCCCCTTGATGCCCTGTACCCAGATCTCCATCTCAGCATGTGTTTCCTGGGGAGTCCAACCTGACATATGGAGAGAGGTAGATTCATATTGATGGTGGGCGGGGTGGGAGGCTTTTAGGTGAAATCCAGGTGCCCCTGCCAAGGGGCTGCCCTGGATCATTTCCAGATTCCAGGAGAGTCGGTTTTTCCTCCTCTGGAGTTGCCGCGATGAACACAGCTGCATCAGAGAGGCCCGAGGAAGAGTCCCTGAAAGTTCAGAGGAAGTGAGACTGATTTTAATTCCAAAGATAAAGAGACTTCTAATTCTGTAAAAACTGCCTCCAATACAAGATTTTAAAGTCAGGTGCAGATAACAATATGCAGTAGGCACAAAGTATACGTGCAACAAATACTTAACAGATAGTAAGGCACCAGAAACAAATATCTAAATACCAACAGAAGTATAAATAAAATGAAAGTTTTTGTCCTACTGAAAGCAAGAATTAGAATTTGCGATTTAGCCCTCAAGTGTATAACACACTCAAACTATAATATCAACATTCAAGAGTGGGTGAATTGGCCTCAAAGAATATCCAAGAGGGTTTTTGGACACTGAAGCACTTAAAGAACCTACAAAGTGATCCCATTCAATAGTCCTGAAGGCAGAGTTCCAGAGAGAGGGGAAACGTTGATCAAGGCTGGTATCTAAATAATGATCCAATTTCAACCATGTGTCAATCGATGAGTTACCTCATAATGCTTCAAGACACAACAGTTTCCCATCACCTTCCCACCTAAAATAACTAAAACCCAGAAACAATATATATAAAACACAGACAGCTTTTAAGACATTAGATGTCAGAGCTCAAAGGACAGTGAGCCCTAAGAGGCAGGAAACAAGTAAGATGAGCCTTAGGGCTACCCCAGATTACTGCCTGGAGAAAGTTTCTAGGCTATGGAACAGGGCAGGAACTGCAGAGGCCCAAAGGGTCCCTCCCAGGTATTCAGTCCTTATGTGTCAAGAGAGTAAGAGCAAAGAGTGTCCAGTAATGGGAACATTAATCCTACATGAAACACAGCTCTGATCCCACCTGACAAAGCTTAAAAGCCAAACTCAGTAGTATAAAAGTTGCTCTAAGTAACTTAACTGTGTCTTAGAACAAAGCTCAGAGATACAGAAATACAAAAATATCTAGCACCCAACAAGATAATATTCACAATGGCTAGCATCAAATTAAGAACTACCAGATACACAAAGAAACAGAAAATGCAACCTATCTGGGTCAATTGAAACTGGCCCAGAATGCCACAGATGATGAAATTAGTAGACAAGGGCATTAAAGCAAACAGAATAACTGTATTCCATATATTCACGAAGCTAGACAAAAGACTGAACATGTTAAGCAGACACAAAGGTATCAAAAAATCAAACTTTGGGAAATGAAACACAGTGGACTGGGGCATGAGGTCTGCGCCAAGAATCTTCACAAGTCTGTGTGCTCTTCCCGGAGAAATGGAAAGCTCAGCCGGCTCTCCTCTCTTAAGCCCCTCCATCCCCAAAGAGAAGGCTGAAGGGCTGCTAGTCTGAGCCCTGTTCAGCAAAGGCAGCCCTCCTGGCTTCCTACAAAGGTCAGCATTTAGAATTTAAGAAGCAAGACCAGCAGCCACAAAGGGGCAGCAGTTCTCTTCCTGTAAACAACCAGCACCAGGCAGAGCAAGGGATGGGAAGCCAGAGGACACGAATTCTGGTCCCCTCTGCCCCGCCAAGCAGCTGTGTGTCTTTAAGCAACATAGGTAACTTCTCTGAACCCCAGTTTCTGAATCTGTCAAACAAGGACAATAATGATAATAATACTCACTTTGTAAGATTGTTGTGACAGTTCAATTGCATTAAATGCATCTAACAGCTCTTTGTAAAGTCCACATATTTGTAATCACTTTCATATACCACAAAAGCCAGGAGATATGTACCTGCATCTGCGGGTATGTCACATGTCCCTCCTCAACCCCCAGCCCCACCCCCAGGAATCTCTTAGTCATCTTTATCTTTTGATTAGCATGCCTCTGACATTCCTGGGGGCTTGTTAGTTCATAGTAAATAAGATAAGAGTAAGTAAGACATTATTTGAGCTAAGAATGGGAGGAAATTCTAAAAGCTTGCTTTTCTAGTTTTCCACCTTGTGCAACAGACCACTCCAAACTCAGTGGGGTAAAACAACCACCATTTTATTGCTCTCACCAGTTCTCTGGGACAGGATCTGGATGGCACACAGGGGGATGGGCTTGCTGCCATACCTCCTGTCTGGAGCCCAAGCTGAGCAGACTTGAAGTGCTGCAGGCTGGGGTCATCTGAAGGTGTCTTCTGTCCTGTCTGCACCCAACTGAGATGACTTGAAATCGGGGTTCAGCTGGGTCTGTTGTCCGGGGCATCGTCACATGGCCTCTCACGGGTTTGGGCTTCTCATAGCATGTCTAGGTTCCAAGAAGGGTCATCCAGAGAGAGTGTCCAGAGAGGGAGTGTTGGACAAAAACAGGTGAAAGTCATGGCGTTTATCCCCTAGTCCGATGTCCACTGTTAGTAGAAACACTTACAAACCAAACCAGATTCAAGGGCAGCAGGGGGCAAGGTGGGGGGATGACATAGACCCCCTTCTCAATAGGAGAAGTAGCTAAACATCTGGGGCTGTGTTTTAAAGTGCCAAACTGGATATCTAAATTCTGCAGAACAAAAATAACATTAAGGCTTTTCAAGTTTCCAGGACAAACGATGGTCAATGGCGCCATCTCTCCCTAGGTTAATCTAGCCCAAGAAATCCTTGTCTCCGGGAGTCCATCTGCCTGGATGATCTGGATCATCATTTGCATTAATCACTGTGCGTTGTCAACTAGGACTGCAAAGGCCGGGTAGCTGTGACCACAGAAATCAGGCTTGGCTTATCGGAGGCATAACATGCAAACCCTCTTAGTGAACTACTAGCAAGACAGAGCCAATTGCAGAGTTGAGCTCTGAGCTTAATTCAAATAACCCTAGGACACCAAAAAGAAACTATTTTTTCCTGAAACAAACTGAAAATCTCAGAAAATTTTCACAGACAATATGTTTGTATTAGAACCACCAGTCTTCAGGGACTGTTCCAAAGAAGGTCAAAGTTAATAAACGTTTGTGTAGGGTAAGCAGCATACACAGGAACAGGCCTGTTTCTGCACGTATTGATACACAGATACTTCCGAAGTCTTACCAAAAGAATCATGAGCCCAGTCTGAATTAAAAGGATCTGGCTTACTGTTTACTGTTGCAAGGTTTCCAAAAAAGTTAGCACAAGAGCTTGGGAAAAACGCTGCCCTTGGAAACATGCTGAAGTCCCCTGAAGACCTCAAACAAACCAAAGGAACTGTCATCAGCTGGAAGGACTGTGGTGAGAAGCCCTGCTTTTGGTTTGGTTTGAACAAAAATACAGCCCTTGATTTAGAAAGAAAAGCAGAATTACCAAAGGCAATTGCCCTTGTGAGATGAAAAGACCCCCAGGATGGTGGGAGAAGGGGCCCCACTAGTGCCTCATAATGGAGAAAAAAGCAGTGACATCTTCCAGTTTGGTATTTATCCATGAAGTGTGCATGGAGACCAGTGGCACAGAGAGCAGCAGTCCAAGATGGTGGTTGGAAATGTGGGCACTAGGACAATCCACTTGGATTTGAATTCAAATTCTCCATTTACTAACTGTGTGACCTTGGGCAGTTACCCTGTCTCCCCTAAGCTTTACTATCCTCATCTATAAAATGGGAAAAACATTCTCTCAGAGGGTTGCTGACAATGTATGTAAAAAAATATAAGAGTGTACCGTGTTAAGAATGCATCCTTAAGTCTGCTTTTGTAATTTATTTTATCAACAAAAGTCACCTATAATCCTGCTACCCAGAAGCAATTTTTGTTAGCATATTAGTATATTTCATTTTGTATTGCTGCAATGTATTTTCTCTCTCTGAGGTCTCACTGAGGGTATAATTTTGCAAGATGTATTTTTCCTTTCTCATCACAGGATAGGTATTTTCCATGTAACTAAAAACTCTTACTAAACATCCCTTTGAGTGGTTGTGTAGTCTTCCACTCTACACTCGTATGACTTTCTTAACTATAAAAGAAAGATTTCTCTAGGACAACCACAACAAAAAGGGCTCCATTCTTTCCCTTGGGAGAGAAGAGGCTGGGAGCCACCAGCATTTCAGGGGCTATTGTGCTTACAGGCTTGAGACAATGACAGCAGCTCAGATTTTGAGGCAAAAAGCATTATTAAAATACAGCCCTAATCGGCCTACTTAAGGAACACGGCCTGAAAAGCAGTACAGTGTTCCAGATTTCCGAGTGCAAATTCTTGCACAGCTCCCTCCACGATATCACAAACCTACGACTTTCACAAAGAAGTGATTTCCATTTTCTGATTTTCACTTAAGGGTCTCCTGTTGTTCTGAGAAGTTCTTTTTTAGAAAACATAAGAAACCATGGTTGTTGTGGTTAAAAATTACCTTCCTACACATCACAAATAAAGCTATTTTCTTCTCTTTCTTAAGTGTTCTGAGAAATCGGCAGGTAATTAAGGGAAGATACTTATTAATAAACATATATATGCTCAGCGATTAGCGGACCTACATGAATGAAGGTGGAAAGTAATGCAGATATTTTCTGCTCACACAACACAGTCATTGGGTGGACTAGCTTTCTGTTTGACCGTTTTAAAATCTTAATTGTCCATCTTTGTTTTGGCCATTCTAGCCTAGACAGTTAATGTTCCATAGAAGTGCTTCCTACCTTTGTCATTAAAGCTCCCTATGCTTCTGTTTGGGGTGTCTCTTTCCACAGACCACCAAGACCAAACAGAAAATGCCTTGAGATGCAAACAGTCCCTGAATTATGATACCGATTACTTTTTATTAGTAGTAAAACAAAAAGAAGCGAGGACAATTCTGTCTATGCAGAGCAGTTAACATAAATAATAGTAAAATGCTAAAACTATAGCACTACTTACACAATATTAATTTAATTCTAATAAAAAGTAGGTTTAGGTATTGCCTCCATAACCAATGTGGTACAGTTTTGCTTTCATCCAATATTTATACCCAAAAAACATTTTGGTTTAGGAAATAGAGTAGTGATAAAAAATTACAGTCTTTGAATATTGGGCTTTGACTAGTCCCCTGCTGCCCTTTATTGTATGTTTCAGTAAAATACAGTACATCTTGCTGTTTTATTTCATTGTTTGTGGCCCGTGCAAAATCCTATTGTCCAGCTGCCCAGCGTAAATGAACAACAAATCAGAAGAACCAGAGAGACACTTTCACTGATTAATCTGAGTCCTGAATTTTCCTTTTACTGCTAAATTATACCTTATTGCAATTATTTATACACATTGTGATTATTTCTGCAAAATACAGGGACGTGCCAGTCAGATAGCACTCCATCTTAAAATCTCAAGCCCAGTAAAGAGTTCAGCTTTTGCATTCTAAAGCTGAAGGGTTTTTTCCCTAAAATTATTAAATCAGTTGATTATAGAGCTTAAGTAACCAGGCCTTTTTTTTTTAACTCAAGGCCCATACTTCACTTTTTGTAAATAATGACCTAAGAGCTTTGTCATAAATAGAAGTAACATAATTTTGTCATGAACAAAAAAATAAAAGACAAAACAGAGTGAGGGTATAATCCATATTTCACCCATAGAATGATTTAGAGCTAGATAAATAAGCTATAGTGCATGTGAGGAACTACAGAAAATATTAGAGCAATCAAGTTTGCAATATAAAATCAATACATGAAAACACTTCTGCTACATTTAGGGATCTCCTTTAGAGTTACCTGATAAAGCAGAACATATGCTATCTAAAAAATCTAAACATGAAGGAAAAATGATGTTTCAACCAAATCAGAGAGATTTCTTTTTCAGGGCCAGGTGTATATAGACAACAGAAAAACAGAGCAGCAATGTATGGATGCACGAATTGCACACTGCACAACCCCAGCGGGATGTTCAGGGCGAGCCATTCACAAGGATGAAATGTCAATGGGGCCTTGATTAAATCTCATTATTTTGTGCTTTCTATTCAGGAATGTGTAATTGCAAGAAAGTTAGAACAAAATTTGCTATTTGGGGGCCTAAGTTGTTTTAGAAAGTGTGGCTGAGACAAGATAAATTGACAGGTAATGTCTGAAATCCACTATGATGAATGTCACTGGCAACACAAGAAAAAAGTTAAATTTCTACATTAGAGGAGCCCACCTATAGTTGAATTGCAGGGGAATTTTTAAGGTATGTAAAAGAACAATTTAGAAATGCTTCAGTAGCATTCACTGCCAACTATCTACTAATAGACATGTGCTGCGTCACCTGGTCATTTTTCACACACGCAAGTGAACCTGGCCGGCGCTCCCTCTGCCTAGTTATACTGGAGTAGCCATTTTTTATACTTGAAAGTAACAAAATAATACTTCTTTTCAAGAATTATACTACTCAGCTTTGTCACCAATTCAGACTCACCTTTTTTTACCTCACATTTGAATTAATAAGGTTTAAGTGCATCTGGGAGAGGGCCTTGCACGTTTACAACTGCATTTTAACTCTAACATGTATGTATAATAAAATAAGTTGAACATCCAGATAGCAAAACAGTTCAGATGGCAAGTTTGTATTCATCTCTATTGAGTTTGTCAGTCTCTTCTTATTTAAAAAAATATATTTATATTTTATATATATAGTCTTATCACCAGCTATTTATAGGCAAATATTAATGACATCTGAATGATTAAACCACGAGTGATCTACATATGTTAATACATGCTGGAGAAGGACTTTTGACTCTTTAATACACTGGTTTCCTTGGATTGAACAAACTTGCCTTGACTATAGCTGATGCCAACTATTTAGCCATACATCAGGATCAACTCGAGATGGATTTCATAAGTGTAGAGCAACTCTGTTTACCATAATTGGCAGGCCCAAATCTTTCCCCACACATCCTCCTCTAGGCTTACCGGTGAGCACACACTGTATGCATAGAGCCAGGAAAATCCAATCCCCACTTTGTGTACACACACACAGGCATTCAGATATTCCATCTGGCAGCTTGCGTTCAAAGTAAGAATTCCTTTTTGCGACGATGAGTATATGTCCAATACATCTCAATAAAAAAAAAAAAGAAAGAAAGAATTCCTGTGTAGAAAAGGAACCCCTCCATGGCCTATCTGTGCCATGGGAAATGGCTGGAATTCTCAGAGTTCTAAGGTGCAGGCAAATGATTAAAACGTCTCCATAAATCACTGCAGATTCAAGATTTAAATACATACTAAAAATGGCAGGGACTCTTGGGTCTTCTATTTATAAATGCGGCCCTTCATTTTCTCTTGCTTCTTCCCCATCCCCTGCCCTTTGGATCACAGAGAGAATTCCAAGCCCACAGAAAAACAATGGTAAATGTTTGCATTGCTGAAATTCATGCTGGTGCCATAAGTGGATTTAAGGCGGACTGGGCTCTATAAACAAAATAAAAAGATGGCATCTAAATGAAAATATGTAGAAAAGATACTGGGGGAAAAATGCTTCAGAGAAGCAGTCTGGTTAGTTGTAAAATGACTTTAAATTAGGCTTTAAAAAGGATTGCTAAATCTTGACACATATATGAGCAGCTTATTATCATGCAATTGTGCAGTAGTTGCTTGATCTTGTTACTGATTCGTCACATATGAATAAATGATTAATTACCAGAAAGGCTAAAACAGAGTAGAGTGAGAGTACTGAAGCTCACCCTGAAAGAGGGGCTTAAACACATTTATTGCCCTTTAAGTGCATTTCATTAAGGCCAATTAAGGACTTTCATGTCTTATTAGAAAAATGAAGTAGATTTATGAGGTTTTCGTAGGTTGTAAATGCTGGGGCTAGCAGATACAAAACCGAGCAGAAATGGTAGTTAAGAGCTAAGAAAATATATACAAATGCTCCCAGAAAGCAAATATTTAATGGCAGTTAAAAAGCTGGTTCAACATGAAGGCGATCCTTAAATAAAGGAAAGGACATCATTTTTTAGTTCCTATCATCTACTCACTAGAAACCTCAGGGTTGTACATGAGGAAGGTTTCTCTCGGCAGTTCGGGCACCAAGCAGGGTGGGATAAAAAAACCCAGCTAACCTTAAAATGGCCTGACAGCCACTGAGTCCTTTGTCAAAACAAAAATACACACCAGTATGAAAATGCTTTTAATTCCAGGGTAAGAAACACATTCTTGAAAGGGAAGAAGTGCAGAAGTAAATCTAGCAGGCATGGTTGTTAATAAACAAACAGCAAGCAAAATTCACTGGCGGTGGTTAGAGCCACAAGCCCAACTTCCCACTCTTCTGGTCCCATCAGATGGTGTCAGAACATTAGCCCTGCCACATGGTTATTACACACCCTGGATTTTCTTGATTCGTTTTCAAGGAAAATTGCCATGACAGGTTAGCCAGCATTTTCTGTTGCCCTTTGGGAACAATTATCACCCCCTCACCATTCCAGCCATGGGTTGATCTATTTACTCAACAGACAAGCAGCATCTTTACTCTTTCACACACACACACTTAATATTTTCTCAGGAGACTCGTGCAGTTTTGTCAAATGCAGAAACACACATTTATGAATGTTTGGTAAAATGCACATTTTTACCTTACACATCATGATGGAAAGCCTCAACTGTTTATCACATACCCTCTTGGATAAATAATTTAAAACCATATGAAACTTCTTCAAGGAAATACCAACTGAAGATGTACAGTAACAACTTTTTAAGCTCAAATCTCTCCTCCTCTAGAAAAAAAAAAAGCATATTGGCAAGTCAGTAGATTATCTCTTCTTGATTTTTTAAAAAAATTCAAGAGAAGTGCCATACAGCACTTAAAAGATGTCCAAAACTCACCAACAGTTTTGCAGCACACACACATTACTTTAAAGTAAACTTCTTGGTTTTGCTTGTTGAAACTCCATTTGCAGCCACAGAAAAGACTGAACATAGAAATTTAGCACTTCTTCCAGAACATTGGCATATTTTTCTGCTGAAAACCTTTAAAATGGTATTACTAGAAGATCTAACAGTGGGAAGTCAGATTAACTGAGCTGTTTTAGAAGAAAAGATGAAGAGTGGTCAATGATATTTATAAGGGTGAAACTTGTGCAATTGAAGGTAAAGTCCTGTAGGCCCAGCCCCGCCAAAAAGAAACAAAACACCTAAGACAGGAAACAAAATATTAATTCCAATGTCCTTAGCATAACTCTGTTTTGCTCCATGAATTTGATTTTCCAAACAAATAATGGCCTGGACAGAGACCTAAAGCAGCTAGCCATGTATCTGTTCAGACTCTGCAAAGAATTTTATTGAACTGATATGTGATGAGCATCTGTCCTTGGTGATTTATTCCAAACAGCAGAGATGTTATAAAATGAACACATTGCATCTCCAGCTATAAAAGAGAAACAAAATGATCTTTTAGTTAATATCCAATCAAACTTCAAGACACCTTATGGAACACAAGGATTTCATGGGATCATTTCATTCCATTGCACCTTTTTCCAGAATGCTAAAATAGGATTCACTTAAGAATTTCTAAAATGCAGAGCTAAATATGTATATCTGGGTTGGTTTATTCCAGATCAACAGATGCCACTTGATGTTTATTTTTATTTTGACAACCGAAAATGCAGGCCCAGGCTAGGGTGCTAATTACCAATAAGTTCTTATTAAAGAACCAAGAGTGCTTTTTCAGAAAGTTCAATACCCATTTGGGCCTCTGGGGCCCTGTGTTACTAACAGGAGTAGAACCTTTTCAATTTCTGGATTGGATACATTTTGTCAGGCACAATAGACATTTCTGGAAGAATTGCTGCTAAAAATGAAAAAAGATAAAAGAGGTTGGATTTAAAAGCCTCCAAAGATTTCTAGCATGTGAATTTTTTTCCACAAAAGGATTTTCAGATGTCTTCGGTACAGATGAATCCCAAATAGATTAATGCCCACAGGATAAGCCCTGAAACATTGAAATTACAACTGGCACCCAAATATTTTCTCAATAAAGCAATTTGAGATTGTCAAATAAAAACAATAAAGGTTTTGTCTGGTCTATAAAACTTAGTTTGAAGGAGTTCATTAAAACTAGGGAATTAAACTTTCAAGTGATGAAAATGTAATTTCTGTTTATATCCATCTCAGAACAAAAAGTCTCAAATTATTAGAAGTTAGAAGAAAATGAGATTTTAATATTAGGAAAAGAGTGGTTTCTATTGAATCACAGAACTAAATCTGCCAACCCATAGAGTGGGGCTGTGATAAGGGAGGGTTCAGCATATTCACACAGAGCTGGACAATTTCAAACCCACCATGGACTGACTTCTCTCTGAATTTTCTAAGTTGGTCGTCCATAAATCTTCATTGTAATGAACAAGCTGCCAAGCCTTGCCCTTTCCTTTAAGCTGTTTAAATTCTAATGAAACTCTATAGGTAGATTTTCACTGGGCATGCTTGGCATATACCTTGTCCACATGGCCGGGCAGTATCTGCTGGTGCCACCTTAGGGTGGACAGTTTTAAAATAGAGGGGTGACTTTAAGCAAATAGGTATAAATCTGTTCAGCCCTTGTACGTTTCATACCAGTTTTGGAAAAACCTCCAGCCTATTTTAAGGCAATTAGCAGTATTTCAAAGGTGAAGATTTATGAGCTGAAAGCAAAGGTCACAAACCACCAGCTTATGGGTGACATTTCAATCATATATTTGTTTTGGTAAGGTCACACAGTGTTTTTAAAACTGGTAAGGTAAGAGTTAAAACTCCGGAGATTTTTATCAGGTTTCTGACTTATTTTGAGAAATTAGAATATGAGACACTGGACCTGAATTTTCTGTGACAGGGTACGGCCGGGGCAGAGTATGTGCCCTTTCTCCAGCACCCTGCCCGCCCCTTCGGTCCTTAGTGCCTTATTGCTGCCTGCGTCTCACCTGCTTGGCCTTTGAGTTTGGATCCCAGGCTCAAAGTTTCTTATCCCTTCCTTCTCATCCCTTAAAATCTGCACTCAGTTCTATCAACTGTTAACCAGGAAGAAATAAAAATGAGAGCTGCCTTATTTAGGGACTGTGATGTACTTAAAAGTTGATTAAAAAATAAAGTTCTGGATATTGGCTTACCACATTTCAATTCCCTATATCAGAAATCAGCAAACTATGGCCCACAGATGGACCAAATCCTGCCACCATCTGGTTTTGTAAATAAAGTTTTATTGGAACACAGCTGTATCCATTTGTTTATATACTGTCTATGGCTACTTCACACTCCAACTCGAAAACACCATGTGACCTGCAAAGCCTGAATATTTACTATCTGGCCTTTTACGGAAAAAGTGTACCAACCCCTCTGCCCTTGTACTCTAGATTTAGATATGAGCTCTCATTTCTAGAGCCTGAAAATGATGCTGAAGCTTCCCTTAACTACTGCTGCTCCATCCCAGGGTGTTTTGCAGCTGCTGAGGTCCCCTCTCTGTATCAATAACTGTTTATTGCCTGGGTGGGTGTGGCCACTGTTTCCAACTTGGAAAGTGTTCCTTTGATAGAATTATTTCCTCAATACCTGTATACTTAAGGGTTGAAATTTCCTTGTTGGCCACCTCAGGAGATGCCTGTTTTGACAGTAATTTAGAAACTGGCTAAATCTTAGCTGAATTTTCTAAAATAATGCATTAAGGTGTAAACCTGAAGTCTCTCCTGTCCACTGTTTTATTTAGCAAACATTTAGTTGTCATATGCCCTGTCTGGCACCATGTTCTGTGTAGCTCTGAGGCTCTCAAGAGTGCAGGTCTTCCTGCCTCATTAGAAGTAGTAAAGTCAATAAATATGAGGGTCAATGAGTGAGACAGAAATAGCACCAGTCTGTAGCTTGATGGGTGGTATTCTTCATGCCCCAACCTACATAAAATCTTAACACAAGCCAACATCCATTTAGCTCTTACTCTGTGCCACATGATGTACCATCAATCTGTCACCTAACATTCACAAAAATCCCATGAGATGGGTATCTGCATCCTCCCATTTTATAGAGGAGCAAACTGAGGTTTAAAGAGGTTCAGGAATTTACTAAAGGTCATGAAGCTGATAAAGAGCAGAACTGAAGCTAGAATTCAGGTCTGTCTGACTTCAAAGACGTAGCTTCTGGTGAGAGTTCATGAAACTGGAAAGATTGCCATTGGGACAGGCTTCTTTTCCAGTGGCAGAAATTGAGCAAGTGAATAACCATTCAGCTCGATGGGACTGCAGACTTGGGATTTTGATGCAAGGTTGCTCAGATTCCTGACAGGTTATTTAGACACTGTGCTATATGGAGCAAAACATCTTCTGTTAAGCTGGAATTCATCTTTCCCTTTGATCTACGTCTATGATTCTGATGAACAAGAGTCATTCACAAGGAGAACAAATATCTACAGATTCTGGCTGATGAACAGATGTCAGGTGCGTCTCAGATGTGCCCAGATATTCCAGAAGTGAGTATTTCTGAATACTTTGTATATATTTAGCTGCCAATCTAGTTGGTCAGCTTCTCAAGTTGATTTCCATCTCTTAGGTAAGTCTGATGTTTCCTTTTATCAGGAAACTGTCCATGAGCCCCGCCAAGGGGCTGTCGGGCATATTGCCTGACCTCCTCTCAACCTCCACCGCCTCACAGGAAAAGTGTGGCCCAATATCCCTCATCCCCTGGGAACTCAACTCGATGTGTATTTGTTGACAAATACTATAAATACACTATCCCCTGTAACCTGAGGAACCTACTCTCCCGTTTGTCAAGTCAAAAATCTGCATAAAGAAACAAAATCCTCCTTCTTCCTTAGTTAAACACCACAGCATGCATGGGGACAGAAAGTCAAAGGAGCTGAAGAAGAGGAGCCTTCCGGGATTTCTCATGTTCCTGTGTTTTTTGGTTTTGGTTTTGTTTTCTCTTTGTTTAACTCAGTTCAGGATCTTTCCTATCATTAAGAGGAAAACAAAGGTTTGTGTCTAAAATACAAGCTTTTGTATTTCACTTTACATCTTCCTACCTAAAGAAGAATGCTCCCATTCCATGCCTTTCTTGCTAACAGTGGCCAGTAATTTGAGAGAAAACCCCCTTTTTAGCGGTGAAGACACAACATCTGAGCAGGTGCCTGGGGAGGAATGTGTCATAAAGGCACATTCCTCATAATCAAGGATAATTCAAAAGGGAAACAGTGACCAAACACCCACGGGAGCCAACAGAAGCCTAATCCTGAGCCCAGCTCTGCAGACGGGGACACAGGCTGCTACAAAGCCAGGGCAGATGCCAGGGAAGGGACCAGCCGCAAACCGAACAGAAGTCCAGTCCAGAGCTTGGCATCTGGGTTCTTCAGCTGCCAGCTTTGCCTCACGAGTAGCCACAATGTTTGGCTCCTGTGCACAAAACAACAGAGGCTGAGGCTAAAGAGGTCCATGCTCTGTCCTGCCAGCAACAGGCCGAGGCAGTGCCAAGAGAGGGCTGCAGTTCCATGTGGGTGCCAATGTGCCTTGGAACAGCTTTTGTATTTTCTAAAGGGACAAGAGAATTCCCGAAAAAAGAAAAGACCAGATTCAACACTCAGAACCATTTCTCCTATTTTCCTTTTTCAAAAAAAATGCTATTTCCATCCACAGTCCTTTATTCACAAGGCTAATGGGCCAGGTATCTTTCTGCTTCTCTCCTGCATCCACAGTCTCATATCAAAACCAAGCTGGCAATGTGGTTCACACAGGTTTTAAACTCCTATGTTTGATGCCCCCATTATTATTTGCCTTTATCCAGTTTGCAGAAGAAATCCTCCATAGAATGTGTTGAGTGGGGTGGGGATGCAGAACATTAGTGGGGTGCTGTCTTGGTTATGGGCTGAGTAAGCCATTCTGAACAGGGGACTGCAAGAGGTTTCAAATCCAAGGCACTAATTGTAAGGAAATTTTTCACTGCTGTTCAACTGGGAAAACTGTAAGGAAACTGGAAAGCGAAATGCCGGTAATGAAATATACCACCTACAGACCATGATTTTTTGAAACATCAGAAAACCAGAGAACAGGGTGCTGGTGGGAGAATCCCTTTGTCCATTGATGTTAGATGAAGAAAGAGAAAGGAGAAAGGCAATAAAGAAGTCAGGAGAGAACTCAGAGACCCTTAATTGTATTGCCCAAATGAGTGCTCAGAATAGTCAACCAGAAAAACTGAAACACAGAATTTTTTTGGTAAGAAAATTTAAAATCTCTAGTCATTGTGGAGAAGATC